TATTAAAGAGTGTTGTTGGTTAGGTTGGAAGGTGTTACAAAACCACACAAAGTATACATCTATGTTGGAATACGAAACGAATGCAATAAAACCTATATCTGATTTTTTTTTGCTTTACAGTAGCTAAGTAAATATTTGAGCTGAAAGACAAATCCAAAAGTGCTGCCTTGCAGAGATCAGATTATTCTTCCTTGCCAAACAGATCATCTAGAAGAGGTAAGTATTTGATCCCTTTCACAGGAAGGAATGGTGGTTGTCCTTTCCAGTCATCTTCATTCTGAAATTAGCAACCCAGAGAATATCTTAGAATACAATACTGAAAATAAGAATAACTAAAAGCTGGACAATGTAAGGTTGAATGAGCTGCTTAATTTCCACATACAAATCGAATCTATGAAAAAGTGGACATTTATAAAACACATTCTCTTAAAAGATCACTTAGTACATGCACACTTTTATCAGTCTTGCAGAATATTTTATTAAAAATATTTTCTATCATTAGCCCCTTGGCAGATATTTTCAAATTAAATAATGCTTTATTTTCTTCCTTATGATGCTTATACTTGAAAGTCTTGCAAGCCATCTATGTATCAACACCAAAAATCATACAAAATAATGAGATAAAAGAACAATGGCAGCTAAACAAACAGAACTCTGTTGCTGAAATCTGTCAAGTATAGGTACTGTAACCCAGAAATAGTACTGGTAATTCATGGCAAGTCATGAACAGAATGACAGTTGGAGTCTAAAGTTGAGTAAGATTCATATCCCTTTCTTTCTCTGACTTTTTCTATTTCATATTGATCTCTTAATTAAAATATTCTTGTACCATACCAAAGATAGCCTAGATATTGCAGCTAACTAACAAAATATAAAATAGATGTCAATAAAATTCAGTAAACTATACTGACATCAATTTGGGCACAGTTCATTAAAACCAGTGCTATATGTTAGTATGACAGTTACAGCAAGGCTTTGGAGCTGATGAGAAACTTATTATCTCAGCATGACAATGACTAATTATAATTTCTATGGATGCTCTTTCTTCCTTTGTGATTTCAGCTGTAACCTTCCTCCCGTTACTTCATGTACCATCCTCAAGTGGGGCTCTAAGGGGCTCTTAGGCTCTTGGAAAGATCATCCACTGGCTGTCCCCCAAGCAAGATAATACCTTTTTCATACCTAAACACAACCTCATCTCTTAAGCTGATCAGGACATACTTTTCACCATTTTCCTCCACACCTTCACCTTGTGAAGGCTGCCTTTTGGTTCCACCACTACTTCCACCCCACCTTCACCCCATAGCAGCCACTTCCTTCCCTCACCTGCCAGAAATCAGGTCATGCTCAATGGCTAGATAAGCCATTCTGTGAGAGGGAAAAAATGGCCAAATACATTCAATAGCAGGTGTATCTGTGCTTCTGCTTCTTTCACCTTTGCTTTTTGGTACAGAGTTTAGCACCATCTTCAAGAAAAAAGTCCTCTGGGCACAGACTCTGACCTTCTTTGTGTTTCTGTAATACTGAGGGTCATAAGGCCCCTTTCCTGACACGCTCTCCTGAGAGAAGTCACTGTTTAAATATTGAGTTATAACTTAAGCACAGAATTCTTCTCTAAAAGCAAAGAACACCCACTGAGCAAAACCCAATGCACACTTTGAACCGCAGGACTGTATGAAACTTGTGGAAGAGTTTTGATTTTTATCTGTACAGGATAGAAAAATTCTTCTCAATAACAAAGTGAAAAATAAACCACCATGGAAGGCAGAGCAAACCAGCAGCACTGGACCCTCCTTAGGCACCACTTAGAGTCTGAGATGCTACAGCAGAAAGAGCTGGTAAGCCAAATAAGAGACAGGAGTCAGGTTAGGAGCACAGTAAGTGAGGAATACTGAGTTAAACTATGTCACCATTGAACTTGCATTTAAGGAATGCTGTTTTTAAATGGTCTGAATACAGTCAAACACGCAAGCACAGCAACACATTGGCTAGGCCAGAACAGCAAAACTACACGTTAGCAGAAGGGCTTTGGATTTATCTGTCATGAAGCTTTTAAAAATCATCGTAATTGCCTTATGGACCATCCATTTTAAAATGTTCCATTCAGCACAAGATGGCAAGATCAGATTAACCTCTGCAGTTTGTTGGCACTGCATTTTTATTTACCCCAAGTAGCAGGCTGGTGGCGATATACAAAGTTGACCCATCCATACTGCTCTTGCTGTATGCCTACCAGTGATGTGGTGTATTATGGACAAGTTTCTATCGAGTTACAAAAAATACATAGCTATTTTCTGCAGTGTCAGTGGAGTTTAAAGTATTTTCTCACTATCTCGGCATGTGAACAGATCGTTTGACTTGTGACAACGATATTTGTGGGGGCAGTGGTATTTATACCCATTATTCATGGACAAATACACCTGCTTCCCCTCCTTTTTTTTTTGTTTTCCTTCTAGAAAAATGTCACAAAAATGTAAGACCTATTAGGCATGGGACTGTTACAGCGCTCCTTGTCCCTGCTTGACTCCTCTGCTTCATTCTAAACCTCCAAGAAAAAAATACTTGAAGTAAACAGGCACAAATATGAAAATATGAAAACTGTTGTAGTCTCCATTGGATAAAACACTCTTAGCATCAATGCACTGTACTGTTCCTTTGCTTAGATACACTGGTTTTACCTTGAGAGGGACCTTAATTGTCTGGAAAGCAGGGATTTGATTCTCTCTCCAGTTCAGTCCATCCACAAACTTTTTATAGTCCACTTGCTTATGGTCATCTTCAAACCTAAGCAGAATATCCACAAAATTATTCCAGGTTAAAAAAAATCATCAGTAAAGTTCTATTATGTTATCGAAAGCATAATAATACACTATCTTTTGGATAATAAATTTTTACTCTTGTATTACCAAACAGTGGCAGGAGTACAGAAAAACACCACCAAACTGTCAGGACTTCAATATCATACGTTCTATTCCATATTCTTACACCTTATTATTGTCTTTCATAGTAGTATTCAACTTCTTTAAGGTTTATGACATTTCAACTAATTTCATTTTACTTTTGAAGCATTGCCCAAACTTTTCCAACACTGAGATCTCACAACTGGTGACAAAAGAGAGTTAGAATGACCAGTGTTATGCTTCCTTTGCATAAAAAAAGAAACAGGCAGAATGATAGGAGAGAGCTGTGCTATAATACAATTGGCCTGCTTTAGATGGCTTCTACAATCATTTCCTGAAAATAAGCGATCCTTCAAAAATGTCATCTACACACGCCTTGGGATCAATTTACAATTGACAAACACAGAGCTCTCTAACCTGTCAAATAATAGCTAGATTTAAAAAACACAAGCCTTGTCATCTGATAGTTGTTTTACGCCACTTCTTCATTTCTATGGAATAAATGCGTATTTGTGTCAGTTATGAGGGTCCCCTACATGCACGAAACGCATACATGCTGCCAGCTCAGGTCTACAGGCATATGTGGAACATGCTATCTCCTTCCCTCAAATTTCTAAAATCATTACCCTGCACTAATAAACCCCATGGGAGCAGATTTGTAAGCCATGTCATCCTCCTGCCATTGATTTGGATGAAGCAGCCTTAGAAAAAAAAGAGTCCCCCAATCCAGCAAAATGCTTAGGTGATTAAGGCACTTGGGAACCACTGTTATTTCAGTGAGACCAGTCAAATGCCTGAAAGATATCTGCAAGCTGAAGCTACGTTGCAAATAGTTCTTGAAATGAACAGCTAACCTGCTCCGCAGTAAATACTGTACCAGCAGCTTCTGTGACTGACAGCTGTCTCACCTAACACTACCTACATATAAAAGGGACCTGGTTTAGGCATATAAGCGTGTCCTGAAAGCTTCTGCACTTCACTGGGGTCTATGGACAGACACATGCAACTCGTTAAGACTCAATACCTATTCTTTAGTGGGAACCACCAGGTTAAACAATTCTGCCCTGTAATCTGGTGAGACAAATACTACTGCACCAGAGAAAGGAAACATTTGCAGGAAACAAGTCTTTTAGAAAATCATTTTATCGTGTTCTTAAAGGAACAGCACTGCACAAAACCTGGGCCTCAAACCCCTTCAATCACCGCAGACAGTTCTAGTAAAAATTAAGCATGAAGGTACTTTAAGGGAGAATTTACAGCACAAACTTGGAAAACAATACTGGAGAAAAGGAGAAATAAATATAGTGACAAAAATAAACTGCAATAAACTGCAATTCATCCTCTTCTTCTCCTCCCCCCACACTTTCCTTTAATAGTTAGCAGGAGAGATAATAATAAAATATACTGAGAGACATAAACAGAGATGCTAGAGATAAACTGGAATGTTAAGTACAGTGAGTTATGCTGAAGATGAAAGAAAAGTCATAAAAGAATGCTACTGTTACTGGTATTAGAGGAGCCTGAAACTTTGCCATGCAAAATTCTCCTATGACAGCTTGCTTCTTTAAAATAACTCACATGCAAGTTAACACTTTCATAAAGCCCTACTTTTGAGGAATATATCCAATACACAAGAAAATTATCATTCCCACTTCTGGGGCTTTTTTGTTTGCTCCAGTTTTTTTTTGCAGGTGGCAACTGGGAAAAGAAAGGACTTTTGCATTAGAAGTAACAAGGCAATAAAAAGCTTATACCTCTTGGGAAAAAAACACATGGCATAGAGATTTTGACCTTCAGAACTACTATGTCAATAATTTCTTTTCTTTTACTATATATGTATTTGTCTCTTGCTTGTTGTGAAAAGTCTACTGCCAAGATGCAGAGCTGTGTATGAGCAGGATTTTAAAATAAAGAACAAGTGAATGTGTGTAACTACTTTATGCTGAGGCAATGAAGGCAAGGGAAGCATTGCCTCTGCATTCAACAAACATTAGCAAGGAGAAAAGTCCTTTCATGTGACAACACTAGCAAACTGAGATGACAACAAGGGCATGAAGTTAACTATAACCCAAGATTTTAACAGAGGCAGAGGAAATGGGATTCCTAAATCCCATATTTAAATAGCTACAGAAAGCAGCTTAAAATATTATGATGGAATAATCCAGAAATAAATTAAAAATCATAAAAGTCTCCTCTTTAGATCTTTTTCCTGCTGTGACTTACTGTATCAATCTGTTAAAAGCACAAACTTGCAATTTGGCACAGAGCATCTAGATGGACTGAAGAGATGTTATCAAATTGTGCATTATTAGGAGAGAGATGTCATACGTCTCAGTGGCTGGAGGTAATATGACTGAAATGGACAGTGCTCTCCAGGAAAGGAAATTACATTTGTCTTATCAAGAAGATGCAACAAAGATCTTTTGAAACCATGTTTCTCTTCAGTTTTGCTCTATGACTTCACCAATACATGTGATTAATTTAGACTATGAAAGTCACTCCCTCATCCATATATTTTGCAGAGCTTTTTTTTTTCCTTTGACATTACAGAAATAATCACACATTTCTGCTTCTAAAATATATTCATAATTAAATACTCCAGATATGTGAAAAAGCTGGTTAAATCACATCATGGCAATTCCTGGGGATGCCTGGGTAAGTAAAGGCTACTTACACATATTTTTTTCCTTCCCATCAAGAAATCTGTATCTCAAACATTTATGTGAAAATGTAATGTATGTGCAGAGTTTTTTTAATTCCTTAGTTTTGAGTAACATTTATTAAGTCAACCTGATAATAATAGAAGAGGAGCACCATGCTGCTCTGACCTTAGAAAAAACATTTGTATTCTTCAGCCCATTTGATAGTCTCTGTTTAACCCAGATATACATCTAAACTGTCAGAAACTGCTCATATGAAAAGATTTAAAACAGCAAGCATGAACAAGGCAGCTGGTCAGTATGAATCAAGTAAAGGCTACCGTCTTGTGGATACATTTATTCACAGCTTGAAAAACTATAAATTGAACCATCAGTTCCTCAGCATAGTGGATAACAAAAATAATTTCTTTTAAGAGATCTTTTTAAGAGTCTTCTCATCACAAATGGCATAGGGAGCCTCAGGCACCAAAGGTAACAAGCAGAAGACAGAGTGCAGGAGAAAGATCTTGTGACCATTTCCAACCTTGCTCCTCCTACCAGGATACCTGCTGTAGCAGGAAAAGAGGGTTTGTTTCCTGAAAGAAATAGGCCAGCTCTAAAAAAACATTGGAAGTAGGCAATTAAGTAAAAAATCATTATCCAGCCACAAATCAGGGAAAAGCTGCACAGGCAGGAGAGGCCTGGCCTGGCCTATTAGCAACTGGAGAACGGGGATGACCATGCAGGAGGCCCATTGTTATTAGCCACTGCCACATGAGACACTAGGGATGAGCTTTTTTAAACCTACAAGGACCCATCCAGAGTCCGACAGCCTCACTCTGGTAGTGGGGGAAGGTAAAGAACTACATACACGGCCACTTTTAACAGAAACTAAAAAACATATTTTAATAAATAGGGACATACACTTAACAACTACATGTTGTGATTGCAGAACAAACAATGCATAACACTTGTAAACTTGCCATCCATTCTTTCTTACATTTTTCTTTTCTTATCTGCCAGCTGTTTATACACCCTCTGGGGGACTGCATCTTTTTAAGTCCTTGTTAGCATACAATTATCATTGCAGTAAATAAAAGTAACAGAAAAAATACTAAATTCATTACTTAAGCACTTCAGCAACATTTATTTATTAAACTATAAGTTTTCATTATGCCTGCCTAAATTTAAAGAAACGTTTATAATGACTGCTCCAGTTTTCTGGCAGAAACAATTGCAGACCATCTGCATTGCTTAATATATTGTGATTGAAAGTCTGCATTGCCCTGTAATTAAAAAACTGAGAAAATGCTGATGGAGAAAGGAAATACTTTTTAATACACCAGCTTGGGTAAATTGGAAAACACGGACACATTGTTAGGTACCTAAATACTACTATTTCACCATCCCACAATTAAACATATAAACTCACTCTCGACAGGCTATATGAAAGGGTATATATGACAGGCTATATGAAACCTCAGTCTTTGTGCTAATTCTCCCCTATCTCTCTGGAAACTAAATAGTCTTTGGGCACAGTAAACAAAGTTTTGGGTCATCTGGAGGTGACCATAAAACTAGACAGCAGCTTCTAGTCCCATCCCATGCTTTTAATGTGACAGAACATTGCAGTATAATTTACAGATGTAAATAATAAATACTTTAAGAGTATTACCTTTCAAAATGGAAAAACAGAAACATTAAGTCATACAGGAAGTCTTTGCCACCTAATCTTGGATAGCAAAGCTGAATAAACATATAACTTCAGTCTTCAACTATTATCTGATCACATTGTCTAGCATAATTTTATAGCTGAAGAGGGTCCAGCTAGTGCATTAGCTATATATACTGATTTTGTGGGAATCAATCCAACAACTTCTATTGTACCACTTTCTTCCTTTATTAATACAGATACACACAGTAGGAACAGCCCCACTGCTTGCTTCAGAAATATCAGTGGACACAAAATTACATGCTTCCTCATCCAAAAAGTAACCAGGGAAAGAATATTGTCAACAAACTTTGCCCACACTGAATTGCATACTCCCCAAGAGTGAGACTGTTCTACATTACCAACAAACCTGACTGTTTCATGAGTCTTCAGTCTTGAAGAAAACTACAGAAAGAAACACAAAGGGAAAAGTCTAAATCTCATTTGGCTAGCTCTCTCTTTCTCCAGTCTCTTACAGAACGAACCTACAGCAGCTGAATCCTAAATTCAGCTGTCATGGGTATCTGGCTAAAGCCAAGTGAAATCCAGCCCTTAGTATCCTCCTTGTCTTCTAAGCTTAACTCTAATTTTTATTATAGTGTACTGGGCTTTTTCTTTCTAACTGTCTACAATGAGACTCTTCAGTAGAGAAGAGGTTCATCTCACAAAAGCTGTCCCTGGTATAAATTCACAAACAATAAACACATCTCTGGAGCCTAGGATGTGTCAAACTCATCTGTTTCTCATCAGCATTGAGTTAGTACATCGAGGAAAAGCTCCGGCCCCTGGCCTATGCATCTATTGAATTTCAGCCTTTATGAACTGGAAACTATGAGAACCCCTTGTCTGGTAAAGGATGTCAATTGTCCTCTAGCACTGTTTGTGCTGGGCAGCTTAGTGGGAGTTCTAAAAAATGAGGTTTCGATTAATGTTAAAATTCAGACATGCTTCTGATAACTAGTGCCTGTAACCTAATTGTCAGAAATGGTGAATGGCCAACAAATTGCCAAAGTCAGCTATCTGGCTACTTCAGGGAACTATTCCAAAAGGTTTTGGTCTGGAAATGGGGGCTTTGTGAAAAATAGCCCCTTAGGCTTCTTAAAGCAGTCTTGTTGATACTAAGTAGGAAGTCTTGTTTACAGTATGAAGATGCTTTCTTAAAATGTATTCCACATTTCTGCCTGAAGAGTATTTTCATTATTTGATAAATCCAGATGCTTAGTTTGCATAGGTTAGACATTAGGAAAAAGTTCTTCAATATGAGGGTGATAGACCACTGGAATAGGTTCCACAGACAGGTGGTGGAGGCCCCATCCCCGGGGACATTCAAGATCAGGCTAGATGAAGCTTTGAGTAGCTTGATCTAGTTGGAGATGTCCTTGCTTATGGTGGGGGGTTGGACTAGATGACGTTTGGAGGTTCCTTCCAGCCCAGACATTCTGTGATTCTATGAACCACATCTAAATGAAAGCATCTAGATATGACAGAAGACAAGACTTGCTCCTGTCTTCAACACAATATGAAGGCACAGACAAAACATAGAAGGATTTCCCACAAGGGAAAGGAGAGACCAATGAGCATGCATTTAAACCTACCACCAGAAAATCTATTCTCTTTAATACAGCAATTTGTCTCCAAACAATGAAATGTGCTACATGAAAAATGCCAAAACCATGCCAAGACTCCTTTTCCTTTTTTAAAAATTACAATAAAATATGTTCTAGGTGAGACTGACAGAAGAAGCAGGCCACTTTTATTTACTGCTGCTGCTGTCTCCCTGATTCAAGGGCGCTTCATTGTATTTACCTTGGTACATTGCTTAAAACTCACATAATGTGCTTTCAAAAGTTTATTGTGTTTATCTTACACACACATAGGAATGTAAAAAAAAAAGTTAATCTCAAAGGTAATGACAAGTCTGAGTATCTGATTTCCATAAGACTAATTCCATAGAATGCTGGCAAAACCCAGACGATCTACCACGCCAGACAAAATGAAGAGAAGTTGCTAAGATGGATGTACCTCAGATGATTAAAAATATTTCTATAAATAGGAAAGTCTGCATGTATATACAGATAAAATCAGTACCACAAAACAATTACTATTATATAAATGACAAATTCTTCAGAATTGTGTCTGCAGTAGATAGTAGGCACTGACTTGCACCTATGCATGCACGTCATGCTATCTGTCCTTAACTTACATGGTCAGTAAAGTTTGCAGATCATCATCAGCCAGTGGCAACTTAAAGGACTTGCAAATAGTCCTGCACATTTCATGGGGCAGCACTCCACATCTACACAAACAGGAAGACAGCGAGAGAGGTGTACATTAGGTATTTTCCAGACTTACTTCAAGAGAATGTTGCTGTGAATAGGAATATATGTGTAGAATATTGGTGTAAAGGTGAAGAAAACAAGCTTTTACAAAATTTTGCTATTACAAAACCAAGAAACTTGAAGTGTACATGGTGACTTGTGCCTCCACGCTTAGGTCCTTAGTGATTCTCTGTGATTCTTTATCTGTGATATCACAGAACAAAAATGGCAAATGAGTCATTTAAAGAACTGGCTACAAATAGTTTCTTTTTTCCCTTCAATATTTCCTCTTTGACTTAAAATACTGTGCTTTGCCTGTGGATGGGCATCTGATTATGTCACAGATTGTTCAGTAGAGCAGCTATAATAAAAAGTCCACAATCAATATGAAAAGGAGACAAAAAGGCTACACTTGTCCACTGTAAAGTGCTGAATGAGGCTTAACACTACAAATAGTGTTCTTTGGCCAGAATCATCTGCTCAGCAACAAACAGAAAGTAGGTAGGTTTACGAAAAGAGTTTCCCAAATAACAGCTTAGGATGAATAGAGAAAACTTACTTTTCACGGTCATTGTATATAAGCACTTCAGACAGTTGTCCAAAATTCTCAAAGCCATTTTTTTTCAGTTGTTCTTGAGCTACTGCAAGGAGGAAGTGGAGATCCACTTCATATTCATCTTTCACACTGTAATAGTGCCCAAGAGTCATAATCTCATGTTCTGAAAACGCTCCATCGGTGATACTGACTATCAAACTTCTGTTCACAAAAACAACAGCTTACATT